AGCATTGCGTTTAACGTTGTGGGCGATGACGTACAGTATCAAAAACACTAATCAGTAATCTGGAAACAAAAGATACTGTTTAACTTAGAACGTGTGATTGAGCGACGGGTGGCAGTAACGCAATGAACCTTTTATTTTGCACTCTACAGACGCCGGTTAGAAATTTCTGTACCACGGCTAAATTCCTCAATTAAAGAATTCACCTTCCACGCACTTCATTTCGTGCAGCGAAGACATGCGTGCAAGACAAGACATTCGCGTACGAATAACAGGAACATCCTTGTGATGTGCTGTGATACAAGATCTGAAGATCAATTTCAGGAAATGTCAGCAAAATAAAGTTGTCTGCCAAGAACAACTTCACCTCTACCCTGATACACCTGTCCCCCTATTGGAGGACATGTAAAATTGCTGTGCACCAGTGCCCCCTACGAAACATCCTGACTTAGCACCACTCATTCTGACAGCATCTCTAAAGATTTATTGACTGAATGACCCGTATGAAAACCCTGATCGATCTGCACCAACGTACACAGCTTGTTTCATCGAATCGTCCGAAGGAGGTTTCCAAGTCGAAAGAGCAGCCGTAAACCAAATGAACGAACTCGTACGTTTATTCAGCAATCTCCTGTTACACAAACTCTCTGTGAGAAGGCTATTTCTCGTGTACCGGAGGGAATGCGGATTTTACTGGACTTTAAGTCATTTATTCCGCTCAATCCAATTCCCTCGAGTCATGAGTATATTCAGCAAAAGAATACATCGTCGATTGTAGTAATAACTGTGACAATTCTTGGCCACCGCCAGTCACTACAGCCCCCGTTTTTGAAAGTACTGTCCACTCCTCCATAGTAATTAGAGTTCGAAAGATAATTGTCGGCGAAAACGTTCTGTCTTCCAACGAAAACTCAATAACCTCACGGCAGATTTCATGGATTCAACAAGGTTGAGAGTATTTCACCTTCTGCGGATTATGTCGCTTGATTTTTAAAATCAGCATCTCTTCGCTGACGCCAGTTGCGGTAGTCTCCCTCCGCTTGCAGCTGAAATTGGCATTTCCGTCGTTAAATCACATTTTCATGGATTTGTTTCCATCTTGAAGATGGGGCACTCTATCAAAGAATACCTTCTTCAAGGTTTCGAAATTCGACCTGAGCAACAAGGTGCAATTTTCCAAGGATGAACTGTTATTTGGTCGTTACTTTAGTCTCAGTTGCGCGTATTTTAGTATCGAATTCGAGTTGAAGATATTTTGGTTCGAAGCTCTTCCTGAATGAAACGTTTTCTGACTAACAGACGGTTGATCCACTCGTGAACTCCACATAGCTGATTTCTAAACTCCAAGTGTCACTCTCAACTATTTTCATCCGCAGCGTCGAGTTTGTGACCCTCTCATAACAATCACTCTCTTCCAATGTGAATTGAGGTAGTATCAAAGTAGAATCTGTTCGTCGAACTTGTTTTCACAAGTCGCTGGCGCTGGAAGAAGATACTGTTCGAAACTTGATTCTCAGGCTTGTCCTGCCATGGGATGTTTCGATGCTTCTCATTGGTTTCATTCGTAGGGTGCTAACAAAAAAGATATAATCGTTTGACACGTATGCTCCTCTCATTCCGCGATGGTTCAATATGTTCCATTAGCGTCATAATTGAAACGATTCGATAATCAAACCTACCATCGATTTTTATGCACAATCTTCCCTAGTCTAAGTGAACTGATGCATGCTTGGATGCTCCAGGAAAGTGTCGAATATGGACAGTCGGTTATGTTGCGCAAAACCGCAACAACATCATGCTGCTTCTGTTGAGATCACTGGGATGGTTCTCTCCAATTCCCCTTCCACTTTTCAACGTCAACTGCGTCATGAGCATGAAAGTGAGAGACTTCGTTGTCTGCACTTTGTGAGGAGTTCGTTCCATTTCTTCAAAAGAGGATGCGAGTACTCAGTTCAAATTCGGTGCAAGAAGACGTAGCGAGATCAAAGATTGCGCTGTGTGAGCATGAATAGGAGGATTGCCGTTGTTCTTCTAATTGTTCTTTACTGACACCATGTTAGCTACCGAAATCCTGCAAATCACGACTATAACTTCACCCGATCGTTTGTTGGCTGGCTACTTAAAGCGTCTAAGTCATTTAGACAGTCAAAGGCCTTCTTCCAATTTGACAAACCGTAGGCAAAGCGGAAGCTGATGCTACTTGATTGTTTGAATTATTTATTGAATAACAAGAAGATTATCTATCAGCCAAAAGTCAAGAGTGCAGAGTCTGGTTCTTGTTTATGACTATCCGTTAATCAGTCTTTTGCAGTCTCCTGCATGATTGGAAACAAACCCATGCTCCTCTTGATCTTCTGATCATAATTATCTATTTTGTTGTGCCGAAAATTTTCTGATGCAGTAGACGAATCGTTTGGAGTTTCAGTTACGTCATGCTGCGTCAAACCCGGCGTTATTACATAACGAATTACCCAGAATAAAGCAACAGAAGCAGAAATAATGAAGCATAAGTTAAGTAACATAATATCAATTCTCATACATACAATAAATTCCTCAAGTTCCTTCAAGGAACAGGTAACAAAAAAATTTATGATTGGAATGAAAAAGTATCA